AGACCAAACCTATGGACCAAACTTCTGGAAGCCTACTGGACCCTCTGGAAAATAACAATTCCATTTCTGAGTAAAGTACACGAGGTAAGGCTTTAATTGTTTGTTCTGGTAAAATATTTTAGTAACCAAGGGTAAATACATTTATCGTCATTTTCGATATTTCCAACGATTCCATATGAAATATAGTTGAACAATGTTTAGAGGTAATACCACAATAATGAGTAATGATAATTTTGTCTTCAGGAAATTAGTTAGAAATTTAGCTTCGTTTAATTATTAAAAAAATAAATGGTTTTGGATAAAAAAAAAAAAAATTGTTTTGTAGACGATGATAATCAGCCCAGGATAAATTATAAAATCATTTTAGTCATAAAAATCTATTCGCGTACCCGATTTGGACTTGGTCCCGGTTAAAATCTTTTATCGTCATCGATTTCAATTTTGCGAATGCTTCAACAAAAGGGAATGGGACAAGATTGATATTATCCAGCCACATTTATGAAGCTAAATAAAAAAATAAACAAATACTGACTTATCATTATCTATGAATTATTTTTTTTTATCTTTCTCATAGAGATTGCCGTCATCGTAAAGACAAGATAGTAAATCTCTTGGAGATGGGATACTTAAGATAAGAGGCAGTAGCAAAGTTAAATAGGCCACGACGGTAGCTGACATTAAGGACACCAAAGGTCACACACTTCCATCAACAATATCCTCAGCCTGGTACTATATAATTAAAACAATAGGCTTTAATATTTTACGTATATGTAAAATATTTAAAGTTTTAATATGAGAATAGCATAATTTAGACTAATCCTTATCTCTAATAAAGCACTAAATCAAATATCTACAAGACAATCTTACAAGATGGCCTATAAGGTTGGGCTAAAACGTTTTTTATCACATTAAAGAGAAATCAACATTATTCATAATTAAATAATTATTTTTAATCAATTCCACCCCATTAGTTTAATCGATTTTAAACATAAGAAATGTGTTCAACTCATAGTTCATACCATTTTTTATTTATTTATTAGATATATGAGCTATGGGGCTCCACCAAACCTTCAAATTCCTCTCGCATACAATCCTTACAATCCAAAATCCTTCGTAAAATCCTCAATGCTCCTTACTTTGATACAAATAAAATTATCCATACTGACCTTAATGTTCCTTATGTATCAGATTTGGCCCAATCCAGATATCTGTCCTTCCATAATAAACTTCATAACCATCCCAACCCTCTTGTCTCTAACCTTGCTTCCCATTCGATTCCTGATAACCCTCCGAGTCGTCTGAAAAGAAGATGGCCACGCGATCTTCTAATATAGACATATTATTAGAGTGCTACCAATGGGTAGTTTCTCAACATGTGTTCCATGTCATTATATCCATGTGCGAATTTACCAGATGTATTTTTTGTATACAGTTGTAAATATCATATAAATAAATAAATAAAAAAAAATTAGATATATAAGAATTGTATCTGTTAACGTTAAATAATTTTCTTCTTTACAATGAATACAGTTGAAATATGTGTAAACATTTAAAAACCAGTTTTCTTGTATAGAGCAGTATTCATTTCTATTTGAGATTAGTCTCATTGCTTTATTTAACGTTTATTAAGTGATCACTCCCCAAAGAGTACATTTTCTGACAGATTCCATCCGAATCACGCCTTGTTTATTTTAAACAAATACATTTTTTTCGATTGCATTATTTAATTATAATAATGATTGTATTATTATAGATATAGAATAGAACAGAAGAATCAACTTTATTCTGGAACAATGTCCCTTAAGAATAACAATGTTGATCATAAAAATTAACATTAAATCTTGTCAAAATACATGTTAAAATAAAAGAATAACTAAAACATAAGTAATAAGAGAAGCATTTATGGTGTTGCCCAAATGCGAGACCAAGACGAGTCGTGGTCTCGTAACAGTCTTGCATTTAACTATTAGGTTATTACTTTAAAGATATTACTGTATTTTTTTAGATAGGAGAAATCTAACTAAACCCGAGTGAAAAATTAGAAGAGTTAAATGCATAAGTATATTGGTTATACCAATTCTTTACATAGAGTAACTAAAATTGTCAAGTATTAGTAACTATTTTGCTTTAATTGTTATGTAAAAAATCGATTTTTGTTATCCGCCTTGGTCTTGCAACAGTTAGGCGGTCTTAGTTTTGGTTTTGTCAAGTGCAAGACCAAGACAGCTCTTGGGCAACACTTTTTTTTTTTTTAAATCTATTTATAGAATAATAATACAATCAACCACTGCTGGAGGGCTATAAGCATTAGGGCTAAAAGTTCTCATTCATACAATATATACAAATAATAAAGAAATAAATATAAATATAAGAAGTAAATAAATAATACTGATGAAGAAGGTAAATAAAAATAAAAAATAAAAATAAACAAATAGAATAAAATAAAAACTTCTAAACACCATCATAACTATATACAATATAAACATTCGCCCAAGAATCTCCGAGCCAGGCTTTTCCCCCACACGCGGAAGGCAAAGCAAGACTCCGGAAGATCCCAGTGCCACTATTCCAACCGCATCACTAGTATTAGAAGAAAGTGGAGACTGAAAGAGGGCACTACAGCCACAGACGCTCAGGACATGAGTGGAGAAGCTGGCCTATGCCAGGACTCCAAAGGCAAATTTACAAAAGATCTCGAGGCCACTGCCGTTTCAACCTTCGAGGGGGATGGTATGGATGCTCGAAGCTGGATAGGAATTACGCTAGAGGATTGGGATGATGAATGAGGTTCTGGTGAAAGTTAGAGAATCTGGATGGGATAATGTCATGGACATATGGGATGTTAAGGTCATGGTCTAGGGTCTTGTTCGTGACATAATATGGAGCATTGACTATTATTCAAAGGACTTTGGACCGGAAGGATTGGATGCGTTTGATATTCGATGATTTAGTTGTCCCCCACATTTTAAGTCCGTAGGTCCAGATAGGTTTCAGTATGGTCTTGTAGATTAATAATTTGTTTTCTGTTGAGAGATGAGATGTTCTGTTTAGTAGTCTATATAGATGACCAAATCGTCGGTTAAACTCGTCTTTTAAGTCTCGTATGAGGGTTCCAAGTCAGTCTTTTGTCCAGAAGGAAGCCAAGGTATCGGACTGTGTCTGAGTAGGGAAGAGGAATTGAATTAAAAAGGATTGGCGGACAGGATCAGCGTCGAAGAGTGAAAGTTACATGTTTGCATTTTGATTCATTAATTTTGATGCGCCAGTTGTTGCACCACTGCTCAATGAAGGAGAGGTGTCTTTGCAGGTTCCGGGACGCTATTAGAGGATTCGAGTGGGAGGATAGGATGGCAGTATCATCAGCAAATGTTGCTAGGAAGGTATCAGGACTTAAAGGGATGTCAGCGGTGAAAAGGATATAGAAAACTGGGCCCAAGACACTGCCTTGTGGAACACCAGCCTCAATTGGATAATGCTTGGAGAGTTCAGTGCCGCAGCGGACTTGAAAGGAGCGATTTGAAAGGTATAAGCGATTTGAGGATTAAGTACAAGGGTTGAGGTAAATGGATTTTGAGCTTGAAAAGCAAGTCATCGTGCCACACCCGGTCGAAAGCTTGAGCTACGTCCAGAAAGGCTCCAGTGCAATAGTGCTTGTTTTCAAGTACAGAGGATATGTGGTCCACAACGCGAAGGCCTTGTTGGACAGTCGAGTGTCTTGAGCGGAATCCAAACTGATGGGAAGGGATATTGTGGGATTCGAGTATGGGTAGGATGCGTTTGAGAAGGATTTTCTCAAAGATTTTGGAAAGGATCGGAAGTAAGCTTATCGGTCTATAGGATGATGTATAATTAACAGGTTTACTTGGTTTAGGAAAGAGGATAATTATAGAGTGTTTCTACACCAGGGGAAAGTGGGTTGTGCGGAGGATACAGTTGAATAGGTATGTAAGGAATATAATTGCTTTTTTGGGAAGTTGTCTGAGGATCTGGGAAGTAAGAAGAGCGTGTCCTGGAGATTTGCGAGGTTTTAGGTTCTTTAAAAGGAATTTGACCTCAGAGGGGTTGACGGCTGTAGGAGGTTAAGGAGAGAGGAATCGATGAAGAGAGGAATTCTTTAACTTCAGCAGTATGGGAGGGATGGAGTTCAGGATGAGGAGTGAATGTGTACGATAGATGTTTAGCAAAGTCTTCTGCTCTATTCTCATCTGACGAAGCACAGGAACCAACATCACGGCGGAGGGGGTGGGAAATGGATTGGAATTTAAGGATTTTTTTGGGCAACACTAAGCATTTATATAGCTATAAAGATACATTAAAGAAAACATATGAGCAATAAGGTCAGAGTACTGCAGAATATCTGCTACAAACAATAAAATAAGAAATAACTAAATGAAATAGGAAAATATTTCATAAATTACTTTTGTTGACAAACCATTGCAGTAATGAAAAAAATAATAATAAAAAAAATAAACATTTACAATAAATGATTTATATCTGTACCTTAATATGTTCACATGAGTACTTATGATATTATAAACATTAGAAAAGTCTTATAATCTATACACTAAGCCGTAAATTGATAGGAGAAAAAGAAAGAAAATCAATAAAAGATAATATACATATAGAGTAGTGCTTTCAATATTAATAAAAAATTAAATCCATCTCAAAGACTTAAAATCTTTGTATATATGTATAATTTATGTTAAGATCTAAATACTATCAACCATATTTGGAGTGATTTTTGTTGTTGTTTTAACTAGGAGACTCTATAACACTAAAATATGTTTAGATGATAGAATCAGAAAATGTTCTCTCTCTCTATCTTACTATCCCCTTCTCAGATACACGCACACATACAATGAAAAACAAGAAATATAAATGAACAACATTGGTTACATTGTTGGCGTTTCAGTGTATATACGGTGAATTAATTTTTCATTTCATCTTTAAAATAATTTATGTTTACATAACTTTACGAAAAATGGTATAACTGTACTTACCGACTGTAAGCATGTCGCCATGATCGGACACAGTCTGGAAGGAAGGAGCTTCGGCGGAGACTTCGCACCTGTAACGCCCGCTGCTTGAAAGTTCCAACGGGCCGATAGTCACCTGGCTATCGTTAGATTCGTCCTGCTGTAAATATGCAAAATTATAATATTAAAATAAAGAAAAAAAAATAAATGAGTACAGCTTCGTTACCATTTTTATAGGATGCATTACTAAATATCCATAATAGTACAAACTTTACAGAGATCATAATTTTATTCAAGACTAAACGGAATAATTCAATAACACCACGTTTAGTAAGTCGCTCTAATTTTAAAGCGATCTCGCTCATTCTCCTCTGGCTTTAGCATTAGTGACGCGGTTGGGAGAATAGCACAGGGATCTCATTTTTATTGTTTTAATTTACTTATCTTTAGGTTGTTTATTTTTTATTGTATATAGTTTTTTATTATTATTTTACTTTTGTTAATTTTATGTTTTTTTCTGTATATATAGTGAGAATGTGTTCATATCTCACTATAATTATTGTCCGCTTGACTATTTTATTTCTGAATAAATAAAAAATATATTTTTTTTTACATTAAGATTCATTTAACCTCCGATTGACAGATGCTTACTACTTAAATTTTATTCTCTTCATATTTTTTATTATACATTTTGATCTCACCAGAGCAAAGTGGTTTTCAAGCTCAAATGTGCACTGAACATTCTCTAGTAAAACAGACGGAGGTAACAAATAACTTAAATCGAAATAAGGCCACTGCTTTAATATCAATGGACTGCTCGAAGGCATTTGATTCGGTTTGCCATAATCAGCTCTGTCAACATCTTATCAATCTAGATTGTCCTGAACAATTATACTCATTGTTAAAATCATTTGTAAGCTGTCGTACCTTATCAATAAAAGTTGGCAATGAGAAATCAAACACTGTTGATCTCACTTGTGGGGTACCCCAAGGAATTCTTTTATCTCCCGTTATTTTCCTATTATATACTGCGGAAATAGTGGGAACTAAACACCAAAATGCTTCTGTGACAGCATTTGCTGATGACATAGCTGTCTCAAGTAGCAGTATGAATGCCAAAAAAGCTATGCAGCAGGCGGAAATAGCTTGTGAAAAAATTGCAGAACAGCTAAAAATCCTAAACATAGATGTTAATCCTGAAAAGACGAAAGGAATTATATTTTCATACCGGAAAGTATAAAAAAAAAGTGCCAAATGAATTCAAAATTAACAACAACAGTATTAAATTATCGACTGACTTAACATATCTCGGTATTCACTTCGACAGACATTTAAAATTTACTAGACATTTTGACAAAAAAATTAAAACAGTAAGATCTAAGACGTACAGATTCCAAAATTTAATTCGGACAAACAACCTATTTTTGCGCCTAAAGCTTCTAGTCTATACAAGTATAATACGGCCGGCTCTGTTGTATGGTGCACCTTTGTTCGAACATATCAGCAAAACAACTGAGAAAAGATTACAATATTTCCAAAATGGAATAATTAGAAAAATTGTAAGAGGGACCACGCTGCAGAGAAAGAAGACATTAGATATACAAGCAACACTAAATTTATCAACAACAAAAGAATTTCTCGCAAAACGAAAAAAAAAAAAATAATTTTTCGAAAAATCCCAACAATTGGCAAACCCTCTTTTCAACAACTTATTACCAGCCAAAATTCCAAAACTTTGGCAACAACTCACATGATATAGATGTTTTATTAATTTAGTTGTATGCTCTAGAGAATCAACTCAAGCCTGAAGTGAGCCCCATTACGTTTTATAAAACAGATGAAGAGCAAAATACTCAGAAACGACAAAAAAAAAAAATACACCTTACAATGGCTGTAAGCAGTAAAAGGACTATTATGAAGACAATGAAAATCCAAGGATTGAAGACAAAAATAAATAAAAAGGGGCTATGAAATAAAAAAAATTATATTTTTAAAAAATATAATAATTTTAATTTTTATATGAAAATAGTTAACATTATTAACAGACCATTGGTACTTGGATTAATTTTATTAAAATTGTCTGGATTATCTAGACCTCCAACTTTGAGCTTAATCAAACAAGTAATTTTTTATACATAAACTTTATATATATATATATATATATATATATATATATATATATATATATATATATATATATATATATATATATATATATATATCCACCTTAATTGAAAATTAGCTTATCAAGCATAAATGAACTATAAGAGGATTATATTTTTGAGTCGTTTAAATTATTTAAATTCCCTTTATTTGATGAGGTGGGCAAAATTATTAGCACACCTACCAGAGTTTTTAATTAGGCCTACTCTGGAAGTAATTGTAAGCCTGCATAGCTGAGAGCTCGAGAAGGCCTCACAAAATTAGGGGATATGTCCGGCTTTTACAAATTATTTTCCAGGGAATTTTCATCTACCCCAGGCGGACTGACAGGTCGAAAATTAAAAACACAAGCTCTCCTCCAAAATACTGCAACTTAACATTACAAAGCTTAGAGCTCGGAGACAAGCAACTACTAGAAACGTGAGTACAATACTCACAAGTAAGGGCTTGAATATTGTCTAAAAAAAATTGTTTTTAGTCCTAAGTAACGTTCTAACTTTTAGTAAAACAAATAAGTGACAGGTTTTCGCCCCAGCTTTTTCAATTAAAAACATGTAAGTATTCGAATAGAAGATGTAAATCAGGCAAATATGTTATGAATTATTGATATTTAAATGAAGGAAATAAGAAATATTATTAACATACCACACACACACACAATATATATATATATATATATATATATATATATATTAATGTTGATAAAATTTACATATTTTTTGTACGAAACTGTTGATACGTGCAGTTTTTTAGTAGCTATGGTAAATATTTTATGTATTTATTTCATTTTTATACCGCAATTTCTATTGATGAATGCTTACTGTACAAACAAAGGTATAGTGGTGTCGATATATTGAAAAAGATGGTGAATTTATATATTTCAATCTATATTTATTATGTGAATATATGTTTTTCTAATTCTCAAGCATAACATTTAAAGAAAAATTAATAAACCTATGTTTATTTAATTTTCTTTTTATTGTTGCCCAAAAGTGAGACTGAGACTCGTGTTGCTCCTGCGCAGGAGTCCCGCAACAGTCTCGCAGTTACGAATTTTTTTTTTTCTATAGAAATATTACTGTAATTTTTCAGATAAGAAAAACTTGACTCAGCCCGAATGAAAAGTTGTAAGAGTTAAATGCAAAAGTATATTGTTTGTGCCAATTCTTTACATGCACTATCTAAAATTGTCAAGTATTTGTAACTGTTTTGCCTTAATTTGTATTCACAAAAAGAATTTTTTTTTTACCAGTATTGGTCATGGTCTTGCATTACATATATAAATATTCATGCTATTTTGGTTTATATTTTTCTTCTTTATTTTTTTTTTTTAAGGTGTTCGTATTTTGTCGAAGAACAGGTAACTTGGACGGTTTACCCATCCTTGCGTAGCAGTGAATCATGGTTTTATCCGACATAAATTCAAATACACGATTCCAAGAACAGGGACAGGTCAAGATCTATGAATAATGGCTGTTAGGGGGGCGCCAAACCGTCTAGGACCTATATTTCCTTCCCTGTGGCGAAACGTTAATCGACTAAACCCTGATTTCGACTTCTCGCTTTGGAGTATTTGTTGTTAAAATACCAAAACTATTAAATATAGTTTACCACATGGAAAGGTATAAATAAACCATTTGAGGTGTTTTTAAAGACTATATTGATAAAATAAATTAAATCAAAATAACCATATAATATAAGTATTCAAGTATTGTTTTCATCATATGTAATATAACACGTTTTTCACAAATCAATCATTCCCTTGGTATGATGTTTTTCAAATAAACTTTATTTAACTTTCTTTTTCTGCTCAGTTGTTTTATAAATATCAGTATAAAATATATTATCATACTATTTGTCATCCATTTTCTATATATTTTTTTAAATAAATCTTTATGTATATAATTTAATTTATTTTAATACTTCTTATGTCCACAATTAATGTTTATTCGGCTGTACACTTCCTGTGGGTGTTGTTAAGGGATTAACTTCCCCCAAAAAGTTGACATTATATTCTATTTCTATCCTAAAATAATATTCCAATTACAATGATATGCCATTTTTGACTTTTTTTGACAGGTTGCATAATTGGCAATGCAACATTTAAAGTGACCATAGCACAATTACAATTTTTCACACTGTAAACAGAGTAAGTGTCGTATGTGTAAAAATTTAACTAATCATCAATCATAACTCTTATTAAACATCAATTCTTCGATATAGTTGAATATGTTGATATGTGTATTTGTGTTTGAAGATAAATGTTGTTAAAAATCAACGGATTCAAATATCTGATTTATGTAACGATTCACCACTACAATGTAGATTAGAAACTTAAAAAACTATAACCATTTTTCTTTCTTTCATTTATAATTTTATTTGAATTATTTTTTTCCTTGTTTCTAATCTTTTTTCATTAATTATCTATTTGTTTATACGAATAATTGGAGAAGCTTATCTAGTAAAAACTAAACATATGAATTAATATGATAAGTTCTCCTCTTCCTTTGAATATTTTTTGGCTCGTTTCATTTTAAAATGTTTTTTGTCCCGGTCCATTTTCAAAATGGAACAAATTATCAAACTTCTCTTTTACTATTACTGTTTTTTTTTTTAAAACTGGTTGCCAATTTTTAATTTCAAATCCACTCGTAAAACAAAACTTAGAAATTATTCGAAAATCCGAAATAATAGCTAAAAATTTCAGTATCAATCCCTGAACCACGAAAAAAAAGACAAATTACAAGCAGGGCTCTCCACAGTTAAGAATAATTTAGAGACAAATTCCGAGACTTTTCTATGAATAAGCTGTTATGCGCTAACCACAATTTCAACAACACAGAATATGAATCACAAGTGTGTTTGCACATAAATTTCATGATTTCATCGGATTAATTTAACGATTCATCACTACAATGCAAGTTAAAAACTTAAAAAACTGTAAACTTTTTTCTTTCTTTGATTTATAATTTAATTTGAATTATTTTTTTCCTTCTTT